GCTCATGTGGTAGAGACTCATGCACTCAGCTACAGAGGTACCAGGTTTGATTCGGCCCACAGACGACTGGGGTTTGTCAGCATTACACCTGCACACCATGTTTGGTAGGGCACCCCAGAAAAGCATGTGAGATATGCAATTGGCAACATTATACACAAAGTGGGATTGTTGGGTGAATAATCACTGGATAGTGGGGATCCAATAGGAAATCTCTTCTTGTTGATCAGTCACTGATATCTAGCAGGGATCTTCTGATTTCAACCTGTGAACAGATTCAAGAGGGATTTCAGCACCAGGACACTTGCAGGTAGTGCTCAACCTCTTTGGTTAGTGGCAAAAACCAAATACAGCTCCTTCATTCAGAGATGCTCCTATAGAATCACAACACACTAGAACTGGAAGGGACCTTGAGAAGTCATCAAGTCCAATCCCCTGCACTCATGTCAGGACCAAGCAATATCTAGACCACCCCTGACAGATGTCTGTCTAACCTGCTCTTGAATATCTCCAGTGTTGGAGATTCTACAATCTCCCTAGGAAATTTATTCTAATGTTTAATCACCCTGACAGTTAGGAAGTTTTTCCTAATGTCCAACCTAAACCTCTGTTCGCTGCAATTTAAAAACCTCCCATTCCTTCTTGTCCTATCCTCAGAGGCCAAGGAGAATAATTTTTCTCCTTCATCCTAGTAACACCCTTTTAGGTACTTGAGAGTTTCTGTCATGTTCCCTCTCAGTCTTCTCTTTTCTAGACTAAATAAACCACATTCTTTCAGTCTTCCCTTATAGGTCATGTTTTCTAGACCTTTAAGCATTTTTTGTTGCTCTTCTCTGGACCTTCTTCAATTTCTCCTCCTCTTTCTTGAAGTGTGGTGCCAGAACTGGACACAATAATCAAACTGAGGCCTAATCAACACAGAATAGAGCGGACAAATGACTCTTGTGTCTTGCTCACAACACAAGTTAATGCGTCCCGGAATCATGTTTGATTTTTTTGCAACAGCATCACACGGTTGACTCATATTTAGCTTGTGGTCCACTATAACCCCTAGATCCCTTTCTGCTGTACTCCTTCCTAGACAGTCGCTTCCCATTTTGTATGTGTGATTGTTCCTTCCTAAGTGGAGCACTTTGCATTTGTCTTTATTAAACTTCATCCTGTTTACCGCAGATCACTTCTCATCTTGCCCCGCATTCCTGTGTTGTTGCGAAGTGGACAGGAGCTGCAGACCGTGGAGTTGTCATGGTGATGAAGATGGTCAGCCAGGGGAGGGTCATGGTTACGAAGATGTGAAGAGCACTGGGGCAATTATGCAGTCTTGTTTGACTCCTGTTTTGACCTCAAAGGAGTTGCTTTGGGATCCGTTGTTGCTCAGCACTGTGGCAGTCATGTTGTCAAGCAGCAATCTCACGATGCTGACGAATTTTTGGGGGCAACTGATCTTTGAGAGGATAGTCCACAGGGCGCTACAATTGACTGAGTCAAGCACCTTGGTCAGGATGAAACTCATGTATAAGGCTTGATTTTGTTTGTGACATTTTCTTGCAATTGCTGAGCGGGGAAGATCATGTCCACTGTTACTCAGAATGGCTGGAAGTCACACTGGGATTCTGGAGTTTACAGATGATTTCCTTAATTACTTGCTCCATTATCTTCCCTGGCACAGAAGTTTAACTGGTCTGTAGTTTCCTGGGTTATTCTTATTTCCCTTTTTATAGATGGGCACTATATTTGCCCTTTTCCAGTTCTCTGGAATCTCTCCTGTCTCCCATGCTTTTCCAGCTAGAGGCTCAGATACCTCCTCTATCAGCTCCTTGAGGGCTGTGGGTGGTGGAGTCTCATCTCCCCTCCTGCACTGAACAGCTCAGAAGGAATGACCTTCCAAGCACACTTTCTGACTCTCTAGAGTCGAGGTGGGGAAAAGGTTGGGGGCCACTGACCACAGAAAAAAATCAGCTGGGGGCCACACCCAAGTGAGAAGCAAAAAGAAAAAAAAGTGGCCTCCGACTGAGGAGAAAGACACTCCCCAAATTCCATTTGCACACCAGGCCCTAGGGGGGACCAAGCTAGTAGTTTTTGTGTGCTCCAGCTCCATGGAAGAGATGGTGAGGACGGGGGGGGGCTGGAGTACCAGCGCAGGCTTCCAATGTTAGGGGGGAGTCCCAACCCTCAGGGGCCAGATCCAGCAAGCCAGGGCCGGGCCTTAGGTTCCCCACTTCTGCTCTGGAGTAACTACTTCTTGCAGAAAAGAAAAGGGAAAAAATACCCACCCTGACTGCAGCTTTCTTCCAAGATATTTGTTCATACACACCTCACCCTTCCCACAGGCATCGAGGATCATGAGCTGCCATGCATGCTAAACATACACACCACTAGGACTATATGTGCCCCCTTCGGCTATACAGATGCTGCAGGGCTGCATGTCCATGGTGCAACTGCAGCAGCTACCAGTGTTGGTGCTACTCTAGGGCATAGTTCCTGGGAATTATGACGTGTCTACACTTCAAATACTCCCCGCATGTGAAACTGTTCAATCCCCAGTGGACCTGTTCCCACCTCACTGAAAACCATCATGACTTCTAGCACCAACAGCATGGGCCCTCTTCACTGGCAGCCTCAGCCCAGAGGAGCCAAGTCAAAAGGTGACAGCTCTTCCCTCATCGCTGGTTTTAAACCCTCCAGGTCAGGGCTGAAACAATGAGGATGTAGTCTGCATTGTTGGAATCCATGGGGGCACCGGAGTTTTCCGTCTCCAGAACTGCCAACCCAGCCCCATTTCCCAGCATTAAATTCCGTTTAAAACGGGTTAAACAAAGTCACTTCCCACAGGGAACTTTCTGTCTGCATGAGGCAAAACTTTGCTAGAGCAGAGCCAAACGGAGGAGAAAATATAGAAAACATGACGAGGCCATCTAAGAATGTTATCTGAGGGCATGAGGCTATGAGGAAATTGTGGGAAACAGGAAGGTGATTGCGACAATCTCTGGAAAAAGTTACCTCCCTGATTAAAGATTTGCACTTTGCTCTAAAGTGTTTTACTGCCTGTTCCACTCCCCTCCAGTTCTGCACTGTACAGCAACATGAAACACACAGCTGCCCACGGGCTCGTGGTCCAGACGGCTCAAATCCCAGCACGAACCCAGACCAGACATGTACAGTTTGAAAGTCAGCGCCATCTCATCTATCCCTGCGCTTTGGGGGAGCCCCGCTGTGCCCCCCCCAACCATCCTATGAACAGGACAGTCCAGCATACTGAGTTTAGCCCACAGGGCTCAGGATGGTCTGGGGAATTACCTCAGGGACCTGGCATGGGACAGCAGCAGAGGTCGGGCCACACGGCACTCACCACGGCAGCAGGAGCAATGTGGCTTGGGGGAGCAAAGCAGAGCAGGCTGAGACCAGGGGGCTCTGCTTACCACCACCACCGCAAAGTGGAGTGGGCCAGTTAGGAGATGGGCAGCAGAGGAGAGCGGGCTACTGGGTCGCACCACTTCCCATGGCTCCCATACCACCTCAGTGAGTGAGGGGGGGCAAACCCTGCTGCTGCTCCCCAGCACCAGCCCCCTGGCAATCACCAGGGCCATATCTCTTTGGGGGAGAGGGCACTAGAGAAGGTGTGCAATGTAGGCAGAAGGAAGCAGAGCAGGGGTGGGAAAAGGTGGAGCAGGGGTGGGGTAAAGTGAGGACAAGCAAAGATGGAGCGTGGGGGAAGGGATGGAGTGGGTGTAAAGCAAGGGATGGGGTTTAGTGGAAGGGGTGGGGAGAGAGCAAGGGAAGGGGTAGGGGGATTGCCCTGTGCCCCACACCTCCCTAGGGATGGCCCTGTTGAGAGTGTTCTGATTTCTGGGGAGCCCCAGTGATTTACTCAAGCAGAGGTTCTAGTTCTACAGTTAGCAATTCATTCATGAGAGGAAAGCTGCTTTTGTGATTTAAGCACAGGATTGGGATTCAGGAGACCTGGGTTCTTTTCCCATTTCTATTACAGACTTCCTGTGAGACCTTGATAGCAAGCCATTTAATCCAGTGTGCCTCAGTTTCCCTCTCTGTAAAATGGAGTTATTACTTCCTTATTTCACAGATATTTCTGGGGCTGAATTAATATCTGTAGTGGTGCCCAGATACTATGGCATTCAAATAATAAACCACATCTGAATAGCCTCCTGATATGTGCTGAAGGTCAAATGAGCCTAATCCGGAGGACAACAAACTTACCTCAAACTGTTTTACCTACTCATTACAAACAATGCCTGTAACTGGAGGAGATGTGAGACCACCAGTCTGTGGACTGTGTACATTTGTGACCGTCTCTTTTGGTTTTTCTCCTACAGTTAGTTCCCTCTGTTCTTGGTGTGCGAGGTCATACCCAGGAACCAGGTGAAATGCTTTGGAACATAAGACACTCACGGGGGTCACACACCTGCCACTCAACCCACAAGGGGACTGGACTGAGGGCAGGTGTGGGTTTTCAAACTGCTGTGAAGCCATTTTTTTAATGGACTTCATTTCTTCTCCAGTTGTGTATTTACAGTTAGTTCCCTCTGTTCTTGGTGTGCGAGGTCATACCCAGGAACCAGGTGAAATGCTTTGGAACATAAGACACTCACGGGGGTCACACACCTGCCACTCAACCCACAAGGGGACTGGACTGAGGGCAGGTGTGGGTTTTCAAACTGCTGTGAAGCCATTTTTTTAATGGACTTCATTTCTTCTCCAGTTGTGTATTTCCCCCCGGGCCACTTTGCATCTTTCAGATGGGACCAGCAGCACAAGTCCCACATTGGTGAAACATTAAGCCAAGCCCTGAGGAGGCCCCTGGCTACTCTACATGCCCCCCCCTCCCCACTTCTCCCGCACGTGGGTGCTCACAGCCTCGCCTAGGGGGTGGCACCTCCCCACGGCACCCACGGGTGCTGGACTGCTTCCAAGTGACTGATGGGTGCTGACTGCTCAGCACCGCGGAGCCTGTCCGGATCAGGCCCGCCGGCCGGGCGCTCACCCCCCTGGGCAGGCCTGCGGGTAGTCGTGGCAGCAGTCCATGGTGCGGGCACACGCCTGGTCGCAGTAGCAGGCGCCGTGCGATCGGTCCGGTCCCCAGCCGGTGCTGACACAAGCCAGGTCTCGGCCCCGGCAGCAGCGCCCCACCTCGGCCCAGCCGGTCTCCGCCCCGGGCGCCCGCAGCAGCAGCAGCAGCGCGGCCGCCACCCAGCCGGGACCCCGAGCCATGGCCGCTGCCGCCGGGGCACCGCGTGGGAAGCGGCGGCCAGGTGCTGCCGCGGCGGAGCCGGGTGAGCGCTGGGGGGAGGCGGGGCCAGCAGCTGCTCAACTCGGCCGCCTCGCCCCGGGCAGAGCTGCGGGGAGGGGCCGCATCCCACCGCCCCTAGGCCGGGCGGGACCCGAGAGCCCCCCGCTCCGCGCCCGCCCCCTGGCCACGTGCGCCCCCTGCTGCTGCTGCTCCCTTCCACCCAGAGCCCGGGGCAGGACTCGTGTCGTCCGCCCCCCCCCCATCGGTTCCCCTGCCTCGTTCAGCAGCGCCCAGCAAGGAGCAGCCGGAACGGCCTCTGACGAGCCGGTGCCACCCCACAGCAGGGTCAGCCAGCAGCGCTAGGGAAGGGTTTGTATTAGGACAACTCGCAGCACCGAGCAGCGCTTCAGAGCAGAGACTGGACCGTGTGAGCAAGGCCTGGGTCGGCGGGGACCCGGGCTCTGGCAAGGAACCCCACCGCTCTGGCAGTACAGCTAGGTAACGCGCCTGACCCTGTGCTAATCCCTAGTAAGGCAACACAGCTCTTCAGCGGACAGTGAGGCGGTTACCTCATGTCGGGGGGCTGGGTTCTATACCTGGCAGGGAAGTCTCTTAACTCCTTAACCAACCTCCACAACACACCTTGGGTCCCACCTGTCTGCCTATGGCATCCTGCAGAGTACATCCTCCAGTGCACTAATTGCCACCATCACTATAATATGTGGTAAAACAGGGCAGGTAAATGCAAAAACGATTCAAAATATCCTCTGTGGATGAACACTTTTCACAAACCGATCATTCTAGCGCTGACCTCTCAGAGTTTAAATTCATGACATTGCTGTATTCTTAAAAACCATGGTCTTAAGGAAGACACTGGATGTAGGGTTGGTTACACCAATCGGCATCTCCTAACCCCCTTTTCAGAGGGGTAAACAAGAAGCAGGCAGCGTTATGGAGGTTGTGAAATCTCCATGGCTGGTGATAGTTAAGAGCAAGTTAGTCAGACATCTATTAGGGATAAGTTAGATGGTGCTGGGGGACTGGACTTGACCACTCAAGGTCCCTTCCAGTTCTAATATTCTCTGATTTGTATCATAGAATACCCCCTGGCCAAACACAGACCCAAAAGACAGCCCCTGCCTCTCGCTCAGGATCTCAGTGTTTCAGACCATTGCTATATACAGTATTAAAGACTTACCTGGCGTTGCCCAGGTCCGGCCCAGGGCGATGGGGGCCGTGTTGCCCACTTTGTGGCTTCTCCCTGGGGTCAGCCAGGGGGAGGGGCATGCAGGCCATTTGCCAGCTTTTCCCCGCGGAGGGGGCATGTGGCCCACCCACCGGCTTTTCCCCAGAGCTAGCCTGGAGGGACTGTGCAGCCAGTGCACCCTGCAGACAGCAGGGGCCGCCTGGCCCAGTGAGTGGCTAGCCAGTGGCTGCTCACTGGGGCTGTGGTTATTCTGAGTATAACTGTTCCTACTATCACATCTCTCCCTCCCTTTCCATCTGATGCAAAGCAATCACATTCCACACACATCCCATTGCCCTGGCACAACCAAACCCTTACTTTGTTTTAAGTTATGAGAGGAAGCTACATACCAAAATATGGTTGTCCTAACTCTTACTGCTTAGGAGGAGTTCTTGAACAAATGGACTCACGGGTGGAGGGACACACAGATGCACAAACTCTCTAAAAATATAGAAGATTTTTATTAATAAAATTCTATCTGGCCTCGATGTTAATAAACTCTGTTTCTTGACTTTAACCTCTTGTGGCTGGAAAACAAACATAGTGTATGGCTTATCTTCTGCAACCTATGAAGTTTACAGGGTATTACATGTATGCCTGAGCAGTCAGGCTCCATTGTCTGACCATTTCGAGCAGTGGCATAAACCAACTACAGTCCACTGGATTAGCTGAAAGACACAAAGAATACAACCAATAACATTTAAAGACATTATTTTTTCACATATAACCTTAGCAAATCCAGAAGGACCCTGCAAACCGAGGCTGCACCATTCTCACTACAGCAGCTTGTAATAAACATGACCCAGCATGGCTTCTCCCTTTTGTAGTCTCTGATGCTAGCAAGATAAAGATACAGACGTCTTTCTCCAGGAAAATGGGAAATCAGGCCTGATCCAACTCCCATTGTGGTCCATGGAGTGAGTCCAATTGGTTTTCGTGTTGATGGCACTCTCTGAAAAGGCTGGCACCAATGAACAAGAGCAGAGAACAGAAAAGAGAGAGAGAAGGGGGTCAGAGAGAGGGGCAAGTGGAAGTTGATGTGATCCATTCTCACTCCATAAAAGAAACAAGTCTACTATTTGGCATCAGCTATTCCTGTGCATAATGCTTCACTTTAGTTCATGGCAAAGGCTAGCAGACCTATTCCAAGAACATACAAGCTCCCTGCGCTTTCTGCTTTGTCACAGGGCAGCATGACTAGCTCGCTTTGCCAACTGGCAGCAGTTCAGAGGCAGGAAGAACCCACATGGGTGCTGATGGCACTGGCCACCGTGCCTGCCAACCTAAGAGGAACACCAATGGGCTGTTTGCTGTGACTAAGCAGAGAAACAGCTTTATTTGCTCCTTCAGCACACAGCTCCTTTCCTGCCAGCCTCTCAGGATTTCCTTCCTCCTTTTCATTCCTTAATTAAGCAAGTTGCGCTGCAGAGGTGCTGCCAGTGACCCAATTCCCAGAGGTTTTCACTCTGTCCCCTTTTGTTAAACTCGTGAGCAGACGGACGCTGGCAGATGGAACATTCCTTAGAAGGGGTGGACACAAAGGAACCCTTCTTCTCACTTTCACTTCTGGAGAGTGCTGGGGACTGACTGTTAATTTTCATTCCTTAATTAAGCAAGTTGCGCTGCAGAGGTGCTGCCAGTGACCCAATTCCCAGAGGTTTTCACTCTGTCCCCTTTTGTTAAACTCGTGAGCAGACGGACGCTGGCAGATGGAACATTCCTTAGAAGGGGTGGACACAAAGGAACCCTTCTTCTCACTTTCACTTCTGGAGAGTGCTGGGGACTGACTGTTAATCACTCTCACTGGCCAGCATCCATGGTGTTTGCATTCCAGGGGGATGCATCCACTTGTGGAACTGGACTCACTGTGCTACAACTCTCCATAGTTTCCTGGGTCACACTGCTCAGGGGCAGAGCAAAGACGGGGCTTGGGGAAGCAGTGGGTGGGGACTGTGGTGGAGGGGGAGTGCCCCAGGTCCCATGCCTGGGCCTCTGGGGGGGGGGTTGCCCCAGGATCCACGCTCCCCTTAGAACAGCCAACTGAGAGTGCTGCCCATGAGGCTGTTCAATACTGCTCCTTTGGTTCCCTCAGTCAGTTCATATGTATCCAATCGTTTCTTCTGTCTTCTACTCAGATCATGAAATTATTCAAGCAGGGGTCACCTGTATATTCTGTGTTTGTCCAGCACCTAGCACAAAGGATTTCTGGGCTATGACGGGAGCTCGTAGGTACTATTGCATTACAAATCATAAATAATAACGCTGACGACAAAAGTCTAGTAATATTTCACCATTTCTGGGGCCGAGCAAAGCAGACACTTTGGGGGAGGAGGGCATGCTGTACTAGAAATAGGTTCACAGTGTGCCCGTAAAAATATAAATCAAAAGAGCCAAACAAGAGCAGGGAAACTCAAGCCACAACATTTGGATCCAGGTGAGGATGCTGAAGACTCTTAGGGCAGGAGAATTGAGGAAAGAGAAGTCTGGGCCTTTGGTTCAGCCAGTTATAAACACGGGGAGCTTCGCATCATTCAGTAGATTATGAACTCCCTTTCTCCCCCACCTCCCAAATTCGAGGTTCATAAAGACCCTTTAACACTTTCCTTTTCATCTCCTTGTCCATAGAAGCACAATGTCAGTTTCTCCTGTTCCCATGTCTGCTGATCTCCCCTGTCACCAATGACCTCCTGTGATACTGGAAATAATGCTTGATTAATTTTTCAGTTGTAAGGTTTGGATTGTGCTGCTTCTTAGCGCACAGGCACCAGTTCAAGACACTGGCTCTGTAATTATGTTTGCTCTTGCTCCTGGTCTGCCCCAGCAAGGAAAAGAGGAATCAAAAGAGACTGAATAGCATCAGCTCCCCACCCTACTTCCTTGACATTCCCTTTCACACAGTCATGCGTGTGCTTCATTGACCTGGCAGATTAGGGAAGAGCTGGCTCCATGCCACAGCCAAAGGAACCGCTGAGTCTTTGTGTATGTGGCACTCATCTGTCTCTGTAGTTTACTGGTTTCTCCTCCCAGCTTCTTTTCTCTGCCAGTCAGATGAGGGAAAGCATCCAGCTCAGGAGAGGAGAAAGCAAGCGCTGTGATCATCTCTTTAGCTCTATTACATCTCAATGCCTGGCTGGGGCTCCTCCAGAGCCATGAATCCAAGAGTCTGAGTATTTTCAGAAGGGTTACTCTGATTAGCTATTATTGATTTCTAGAGTAAGCGAGATTCAGGCTTTTCTGAGTCAATGGCAGCAGGGCATCTTTGAAGGGTTCCAGTCAATGATCCCCATAAGCTGGGTGCTTATGCAACCACTCAGAAGAGATTCAAATGCTGCCCAGCTGATTAGCAGAGTGCCCACAGCTAGGCTTTGTGTTTCTATTGGTGGTGCACATTTGCACATGCCTCAGTGCATATACAATTTATTCCACACATGGATGGAAAAGATGAGAGGAATCATTGGTCCCAATCCCAGCCCTCACTCCACCCTCAGATCCTATATTCATTACAATCCCTCCATCACTCAGCACGGAGATAACCCTCACTCTGGCAGCTGCTGGAAGGAGCTGCATGCAATGCCTTTCCTTGCGTGAGCCAGAACCAAATACACACAGGGTGCTCTCTCCCGTTCCTTTCAGGAACTGCTCTAACATTCCCAGGGGGCGGCGGGGAAGCAAACAATGTTAGGAATCATTAAAAAAAGGATAGAGACTAAGACAGAGACTATCTTATTGCCTCTATATAAAGCCATGGTACGCTCACATCTTGAATACTGCGTACAGATGTGATTGCTTCATCACAAAAAAGATATCTTGGCATTGGAAAAGGTTCAGAAAAGTGCAACAAAAATGAGCAGGGGCTTCAAATGGGTGCCACATGAAGAGAGATTAAAAAGACT